CGGAAATTAAAACAAAATTTCAACTTCCCATAAAATATTTCCGAGCGAGCTGCAAATTTTGTATGGAAAACCGAATTTAAAAAAAGAATGATGATCTGAGCCCATGGTTTAAGTTATAGAACATATTTCATCACACTACCTATCTTAGGGGGTAAGCAGGGATTTCAAATTTGATTTTTTTAAACCGTTTTTGATATATTATATATTTTTTTTAATTCAGCTATTTCATACAAAAGGTCAACGCTCGCTCGGCACAAATGTATAAAACAGCTGAATTTTTTTCAGGATTTCGATTTTAAAGTGGGACCAAATATATGGGACCACATAGCGAAAATTTCTCAGTTTTATGATCTAAGGCACCCACCTCATGAGCGCAAAATCGACGTAGCGTATATCCCTATTTCGTTAGGTAAATAAAACTTCATTAATATTCAGTGTTTTCTTTTAGGTTTCCACGCTCTGGTCATGAAAAAAAAGAAGTGTGGATAAGATTTGTGCAAAAAAATCGCAACGAAGATACTTGGCTTCCAAGCGATCATACACTAATTTGTTCAGATCATTTTAAAAATGAGGATAAATACACAACGAAGACAGGTCGACTATATCTCAAGAAATGTGCAGTGCCATATGATGGTAGCCATTCTAAATCAGGTGCTTCAGATTTGGTTGAACCGATATCTGAACCAGTAAGTGATTCGGAATCAATTTTCGACACTCCTCGAAAAATAGTACTGAAAAAGAAATTGACAAAAAAAATAAAAGCCAGAAAAATACTCGCAGAAAAATTTAAGAAGACAAAGCGTCAAAACAGATATTTAAAAAAAATGTGAATCTTACAAAATGATGGTCCAGGATTTGAAAAACAGATATGGATTTGATGCACTAACGGAAAATGACTTAATGTATAAAGCAGATCTCGTGGAGCTGCATAAATCATTTATTTAAAAAAAAACAGAACAGACATGCTTTAATGTATACTGCACCACTACGAAAGTTTGCACTGACGTTGCACTACTATTTTCCAGCCGCTTATAAATACATTAGAGAAACTTATAATAAAGCTCTTCCTCATACTAGAACAATCTGCAGGTGGTAGTCAACTATGGATGCTGAACCCGGCTTCACCGAAGAATCTTTTAAAGTCTTAAAGCAAAAGAGCCAGTTAAACGAAAAGCCTGTACTATGTTCTTTGGTATTTGATGAGATTGCTATTAGAAGACAAAAGTTATTTCACAAACAACGCAAACTTGGTGCAGTCAACTTTGGCGCAGGTCCTATTGATGTCGAAGATGAAGATACTACAGCTAGTCAAGCTTTAGCGTTCATGCTAGTTTCGCTAAACGAAAATTGGAAATTGCCCGTTGGGTATTTTTTAATATCCGGTATTGATGCGGAAAGAAAGTCAAATTTGATTAAAATTTGTTTGGAAAAGTGCCATGAAGTTGGCGTGACTGTTACAAATCTAACGTTTGATGGTTGTGCCACAAACTGAAATTATAGGATGTCAATTGACCGATTTAAATAGCATAAAGACTCACTTTCCTCATCCTTGCACTTCAGAAAATGTATGCATTTTTTGGATCCGTGCCATCTAATAAAATTAATTAGAAACAGTTTTTAATGGAAAAGGTTGATTTTCGATGGAAATAATGGTCAATTTAAGTGGAAACTACTAATCAATTTAAACAATCTCCAGCAAAGTGAAGGACTTCGGTTTGCAAATAAGTTGACACCGCGTCATATTTTTTTCCGCAACCAGATAATGAAGGTGAAGCTCGCTACGCTCGCTACTTAGCATGAGCATAGCAAAATCATTAACTCTTTGTGATTCTTCAGCTACTGTTAACTTTATAACGTTAATGAATAATTTCTTCGATGTAATGAATTCCAGAAAGTTTAATTTTTATGGTTTTAAACGACCCATAGATGAAAAAAACAAATTGGAAATTTTCACCTTTCTAGATGAAGTCAAAAAATATATACTTCAGCTAAAATTTCAAATGAAATCGCAAAGAGTTATTAAAAGAAAAAATCGAGAACCTAAAATTTTATTAAATATAACAAAAAAGAAAATGGTGGAATCAACTAACAAAACAGGTTTTGTTGGTGCTATTATCTGCATTGAATCCATGAAGACACTATATAAAAGTGGAGGAAAAAAAACGAATCAACTATATATCTATGTATCGCATAAACCAGGATCATTTAGAACTTTTTTTTGGATTGATTAGGAAACATGGAGGCTACAACAACAATCCCAATGTTCTACAGTTTAGGGTTGCGTACAAAAAAACGTTAAATCACCTTGAATTGCGATCTTCTGTCAGTGGGAACTGCATCCCTTTAGATAATTTCAGCATCTTAAATTCTGCGTCCATAATTATTATAAATAGTACTACGAGTTTAAACACGATGAAGAGACATACGAAGTTTTGCAGTCTATACAAGCACTTGAATCTGATTTGGAAGCTGAACACAATTGTAAAATTTTTGCAAATATGCTCAATGATGAAAAGGCAACACAAGCTTCACAACTTATAGTTGGGTACATTTCAGGATACGTATCCCGTTCTCTAATAAAATTATTAAAATGTGAAGAGTGTGTTGACAGTTTAACCACAACAAGAAAACTCCCGCATCATAAACTCATACTCCACCGAGGATGTTTATGAAGTATGCCTTACTACCGAAATAATTATACGTCAATAAAGAAGAGTGGTGGTAAATTTCTTTCTTCGAAATATAACTACACATATATCACAGTGAATACTTTAAAATTATTCATGGAGAAGGAAGTATTTACTGGTTGGATTAAACCACGCACGCATTAATCAACCCTCCACTCTTAACCACAGAGTTCATCTTATTCGGGCTGTAATAAATAAATACACCACCATACGTTTGCACTCGGAGGCAAAATTATCAAATGAATATATCTCTGAGCGCCAAAAACTAACGAAATTAATTTTCTTTAAAGGCAAATAAAGATAATTGGGTGTATCACTTAGAAGTTTAATAATTTTTTCGTTGTAAGTATAAATTAATATTGTTTCTTGTGCGTTTAATAAATAATTTAAAGAAAGCATTTTATTTTATTTAAACGACATTTTAATCCGATCATGTTTAAAAATAAATATCTAAAGAAGTTTTCGACATTGTAAATGAGTACATTAAAAGTATTTAATAGTTTTATTGATAAAAAAAACTCCCTTTAATGATAAAAAATATCATTACAATGTAATTGTGATATAATATCATGTAATATCATATTAAATAAGCAAATATAATATACAAAATAAATGACAAAATCTAAATATTGTTCTCTATATAATTTACCTATTTAACAATACAATCTACTATTACCTACGGATTATTCAACCTATGTTTATTTTATGATAAAAAAAACAACCGCGCGAACACAGAGTAGCGCACATTTTTTGTTTGAGATAGTTACTTCAATGACTATAACTTAGTATTATAGGATAGCGACGAAACATAAACTCTTAAAAATATTTCAAGTTTTAACTATTCAAACATTAAAGTGTTCTGCTTCTTTTATGGATTCCTTACACGTGTTTTCATTTTTTGTTTATGATTTTCATCAGAAACATTTTTGTTTCATTTAAAAAATTTAGATATACCCTTTACACATCATTAACCCTTTTACACATCATTATAATTCATTACACATTTTAAGGCCGGCTACACACGTTGGTCCCAACGCTCGTACTAACGTTGGACTGCGAGTTCGGTGAGGTGTACACACGTTGGCTAATAACCTAGTTCTGTCAAGTCAGGGCCAATGTGAAGATGTCCGATACAGAAATCGAAACTGCTCTGAGCGCTTTTATAGTACTGAGTGCACATTTATATTTGTTACGGAGAAAAAATAAAAAGCTACAAAACACGGAATCAGTGAGTAAAGATCTAGTTATACACTCAATTTTAAATATCCTAATAACATCAACAACAAACTATAGATAATTATATCAGCAGTTGTTTACAGGAGCTGTAATATTAAAGTTCTTTCTGATTCTATATTTACATTTTCTTTCTTTTTTAGGTATGATGGAACCCGATTATTGAGTAACTTGATTCAAGAGCCATCAGGACAGTTTAATAACTTTTGTCGTATGTCTTCGATAGATTTCGAATACCTTCTACAGTTGATTGGACTAAGAATAAAAAAGCAAGATACAGTATTGAGACTTAATAACAACCAAAGTACGCCTTGCTGTGACACTTAGATTTTTAGCGACTGGAGATTCATTCAAAAGTCTTCATTACCTATTTAAGATTTCTCCTCAAGTCATATCATTGATCGTGCCGGAAGTATGTAAAGCAGTATGTGAGGCATTGCGTTCTTTTATAAAAGTAAGTAATTTTTGTATATTTTGTAAAATAAAACCATAATAATAATAATCAAAAACACGTTTATTGAGAAAAATAATTAGAGAAAGTAATCGAGTCCTTGCATTAGCATTCAATTCTTATGTTGTATCTGAGAAAGAGTAAATGCCTGAGAGATAATATCATTTGATATAATTATCACCTTTGGAGTAGATGTGGAGGAGGTGGATGAAACTGTCACATATTCTGCTTGGCTATGATTTGGTGATACAACTGTATAATCACCATAATCATCAGCAACGTGATATGACGGGCTTGGCATCACTTGAGGCGAAGGGGATGTTGTAGGTGCATAACGCACGGAATCTCGGGTAGACATATCGTACGTCAACATTTGTGATGAAGGGGACGGTGTAGGTGTAAAACGCACGGAATCCGGGGTAGACCTTACGTACGAGTAAGTGCTGCTACGAGCAGGGCTATTAATATTTAAGTAAGACTCATTTTGCTTCTGATAAATAAGTTCGTCTATATCGTGCATTATAACCTCCCTTTGTTGCTCATTAATTTTTTTTTATTTTTTTTGGCCAGTAGTTGACAGTATAAGTCATTTTTAGGACATTTACAGCTGTCTTAATCTGAGCTCTTACTTCCGTGACTTCCGATTTTCGCCGTTTTTTGGCTGACGTGGAACTTCTATTTTGAATGCTTGCTCTTCATTAGAAAAGCTTCTATCTTGATTGCTGTCTTCATTAGGAAACTCCATAGTCTAAAAATTCAAACACAACAAGTAAATTTCAACCCTTATTTAAATTATTAACTATTACCTACACTGATATTTTTTTTCTGTTTTAGGTGCCACAAAATGAACACGAATGGCTTGAGATTGCTCGAGAATTTGAAATAAAATGGCAATTTCCACATTGTTTGGGCGCTATCGATGGGAAACACATTAAAATACAGTCAACCATTAATAGTGGATCAGAGTTATATAACTATAAACACAACTTCAGTATAATATTACTAGCGGTAGCTAATAGTGACTAACAAACACAACTTTTCATTTGCTGACGTAGGAACACATGGACGTATGAGTGACGGTGGAGTTTTTAATGATAGCATGCTTTATAACAAAATATATGGACCTGATTCCTTTTTTCCGCAAGACGCTCCTTTACCTGATCGACATCTTCCTATGCCCTATGTTTTTGTGGCAGACTGGAGCTTTTGCATTATCTAAAAGGATCATGAAACCTTTTCCTGGTACACCGCCAGTTGGCTCACAAAATAGAAAATTCAACAGTCGACTATCAAGGGCTCGTGTTGTGATTGAATGTACATTTGGAATAATGACATCGGTATTTGGAGTGTTAAAAAGCAATATATTACTACAACCCGAAAAAGCATCTATTATAACACTCACTTGCGTTGTACTTCATAATTTTTTGAAAAAGAGTCAGCACTCCTACCGTATGTATATGCCGGAAGGTAATATAGATAATGTTTTAGAAGAGCAAAAATTAAGATCACTAGATCAAATACCAATTAGAACAACAGAAAATGCTAGAGAAATACGAAATGAATATGTATCATAGGTACTTTTATTCACACTAAATAAAAAAACTACCGACCTACAAAATTATTACGTAGATTTAGGTACACTGAGCCACAGGTCAGATGTATGTATGTTACAGTTGCACTACGAAAACATCTTTTAATACGTAGGGCATAAAGGTGCGCTCAAGGTCATCATGTTATGTCTAGCCTGTGGTTCAGTGTACCTACCTACCCAGGTGATTTTTTCGAAATAAACAACTAAGTGCTTTAGATTAAGTATGTAATTTGTCACAGTTTGTGATTTTATCTACGTAAATAAATAAAGTAAAAATTAATCAATATTTATCTTACCTCTGTGTTAATAGTAACTGTATCTGATTTATCATAAATCGGAGCAAGAAACCTATCCATGAGCTCATAAGCGAACCAATTTGGTTTAAAAATATCATCTGTTGATGATCCAGGTCGAGTAGAGTCACTAATTTTCTTTCTGTAAAGACGAGATTTGCTCATTAATGATTCTCGCTTTTTTTTTAAATCTTCAATTGAGAAATTCATTCCCATATTCTGTTGAATGGTGCGCCATGCATCAGCTAATAAATTTTTATTCTTACGATCCTTTCGAGTTGCGTCCCATATTATTGGATGTGCTTGATAAAGTTCAATAAATTCTATGACTTTTTCAATCGTCCATGCCGGTGGCGATTTTGTGGATGAGGAAGCCATTCTCGCTCGACGTACGCACTTGCTGCGTGTTGCAACAGAACTAAGCAAAGTGCCAGCAATGATTTCAAAAGGAATAGAGGCCCATCTAAATATTTTACTCATAACATATACATACAAGAAAAAGTAGCGCATCTGTCATAATACAAACGTCATATCATAACACGACGTAACCAGGGTCGGATTTCTTAGTATAATTATCCTAACTGTACCATTATTTCATAGTTTGTAGTATATAGTATCGTAATAATACTAAGCGCAAATACCATAATTTTACCTAAAGATCGACTTGTATTATTATTGGGTCCTTTTACTTTTTAATATTAACCTACGATATCGAGAATTTCTGTATTGTACATGAGTACCGCATTTTTTAAATAAAATTAGAATTAGCTCCCTTTCTGGTCAATCGGTGCTCGATCGATGCATTTATGTTGCATCCTTGATACAACTATAATGAGGGGCTACCACGATAAAAACTCTATGCTCCAGAAGTAATCGGTTTGAAAATTGATTCATAAAATATTAGAAAATTTCAAAATATTTTATGAATTAGATTTTCAGATTCAATTAAGCAGATATGGTTTCTTTTATACTCTTTTCGTTTTACCCTTATTGAATATAAAATATATTAGGTAGCAATATTCAAAATTAAACTTATTCTAAGTTTTTTAGACAAAAATAAAACAGAAATAAAAGTAAAACCGTCAAAAACGAAACGTATAAATAAACGAGACGCGTGACGCCAAATTCCCCCCACATGGGGAAAAAAGAATCATGAAACGTCTAACGTGATATAATTTTTAAAAAATAGTATAATTTTATTTTTCATGTACAATATTTTTGAAGGTCTGAATCCAACCCTGGCCTAATATTGGTAACGTAACTAAACTAACTGTAAAATAAAACTTTAAAAAAGCGTTCATATAATAATTTAATTGTAACAAAATTAATACAGGGTTATTAACCGATGATACGATATCCCATGTTCCTTTTTAATCTTCGTATCGTTATTTTTGCATCCTTTTACCACGCAGCTTGACATATTTATGGCAGACAAATCTGTCCTGCCATAAACTACTACTGCACTACTGTCGACAGATTCGCGTAGGGCCTAAACTGCAATTTTAGGGCCAGAGCACTGGTCCGTTTTAGTTGTTCGGTCAGCCCGGTCCTTACGCTAGTAATATATAAGTCAATGAGTGCCAACATGTGGACAGATCGCGAGCGTTGGCGCAGATTCCTTTGATGAAACCGACACGAGCCGGCCAACTACCAACGCTCGCCCAACGTTGGGACCAATGCCATTTTCTAGATCCACACGTTGGACGAGAAGCGTTGGCATCTACATTGGGGGCAACGTGTGGAGCCGGCGTAACATATTAAAAAAGTGTAAGCTTGCATGGTGAAATTTATGTCCTACACGATGATATGATATAACAAAATAATATCGAGTTATTTCAGAACTAAAAAGCCATGGTAGCTTAGATGATTAGCGCTCGCTGTAAATTTCGCAGTACACGAGCGAACCGGGTTCGATACGCGCCGGCACCAATGGAATTGCTAATTGCAAATTTAAGTGCTGATTTACCACGTGCTCGGCGGTGAAGGAAAACATCTTGAGGAAATCTGCATGTCTAAGAAATAAGAAAAAAATTTCGAAGAAATGTGAAGTTCGCCAACACGCATTGGGGCAGCGTGGCGGACACTTCCTTGCCCTAATATGCCTAATACCTTCTCAGAAATGAGGGGAGGCCTATGCCCAGTAGTGGGACGTATAATGCTGTAACTTTACTTTTACTTTACAAAAATTTCACTTTATACACAACACAATCATTTAGAAGACCACTATAGAACACAAGCAATGTAGCAGAAAATTAGCTGTAGTTGCTTTTATCTAACCAATATTTAATCAAATGGAGCGTTTCCTGACAAATAGTCTGAGAGCTATAAAAGTCTGAAATTATATTCAAATTTATATTTAATTTTGTATATAAAACGCATCGATTTTGTTTCGTACAGGGAATATACGAGTATATTTTGTGTGCATAAAATTTCAACATAAAAATATGAAAAAGACATCAATTATTTTTTGATTAATTAATTAAATACTAATCAGCATAATTAGTTGTGCACTGGCGCCGTTGAAAGGACTCTCTTCTCCTAATTTATTTTTATCATTTATGTCGTTTTGCAGCTCCATATTGTAGTTAATTAAGTTTTTGTTAATTATAATTGGGAGCTACAAAGCGACAGCTCGATATCGAAACCTAGTAAGTTACCACTATCGACTAAATACTTCGATCAATTTAACAATAGGGTATTTTACACCATGTAAAAAAAAATCAAAAAAATATATATTTATGATAGATTTTGTAAAAAGTAAACCAAAGATATTGATTTGCATTTATAAAATTGGATTATAAATTTTATATTTCAATTTTAAGAATCTTTTTTTCGTCTGTGCCTCAAATCTGCGAAACGCAGTCCGCTATATTAGATGCTGTCGTGATGTCACTGATCCGCTCTAAGGTGCTGTGTTATTTCAAGATTTTTCAAGTTATCGTTATGATTATTGATTTTATACCGAATTATATTGAAATGACATCATGGAAGACGAATTCGTAAAAGCAGAAAGAACTAATCTACCAAGGATAAATAAATCGATGGTGGCATTTTTTTTGTTGAGGTATGTTTAAACAGAATACCTAAAAACTATATACAAAAACACAATACCTAAAAACCAGTCAGAGTGTATTTTGATAAAACAAAGTTTATTAGCTATCATAGTTTAGTTTATCTACAATTACAATCATTAGCAATCATTAGTTATAATATCTAAGTTAATGTAATTTATTACAAAATTTGACTTGCGATACCCTTCACCTCATGATGTTTTGTTTTGTATAAACGATAGATAAATATAAGTCTACATCTCAATAGTCTAGTTTTTGTAGGCAATGTATTCGGGTATCTTCATGCCTGAAAGTGTCTTATTCCTTTGAAAAATCGGCAAAAGCTGAGGACAGTGACGTCACGAGTTGGGCAGCATGGCGGCTAGCGTTTTCACGCGAAAATTTAAATCGATAGGTTAAAAACCTTTTTAAGGCACTATTCGGTTTAAAAACAAATTATATAAAAATTATAATGGTTCATTATCAATCTAGGAATTATTTTAACACTTTGAAAATAGGTGACCTATTACCTATTACCTATTTTATAAATTCGGCCAATATTTTAATAAATGTTTGGATTCTCGCTAATAAAAGCTAAATTATGATAATAAAAAGTAAAAACCGAATTTAAAACTATAAAATTATTTTCGCATAATAGGTTCTAAAGTCGGTGCCAAGGGATAGTGTATCGAAATAAAGTCCCCCTCAAAATGGAGGAACCCTTTTGGGAGTTGGTTAAAACATTCATGTTTTTTTTGCTTCTTTGGTATCGTTCGGTAAAAGTCACCTAAACAACGCATTTTCTGCTGGATATACATATTATGCTTCTTCCGTTAAAGAAAGAATTTGTCATAAACGCCCGTTTGGCAATTTCGGGGATTTGTTATAGTCGGCATTTTGTCACTGCTGCCCTTACCCGATCTGGATATTTTTTCTTTTTCATATTTAAAATCATGTGCTTCATATAAATATTGTAAAAATGGTTCATATAATATGCAGATGAACAGTCATTGAATCATTAGAATAAGCCAGCAGCAAATGTTTTCTATAATAATTATTGTTTCAAATCACATCCGTAGTGCTGTTACGAAATACGTCTTAGAAGAGGTTCAGTTTATTTTGGCTTCAATTTAACTGTTTCTTACTGACAGGAGTGTTTCAGTGATCTAAGAAAATACCACGTTATCAAAAATAATGGAAAAAGAGCTTTGAATTTCAGCAATAAAGGTGATATTTCCATGAATAGTGTTGTGATGGAATTTTGCCAAACTTGCGACAAACTACTGTCTATCCAGACGAATAAATTAGCTGTGATAAGTTGTATGTCAATTAATTATTCTTCAAAGCACCATCTGGTGTGAAAGTCGGTTAAGCGCGAAAGGAAGCCTAACCTAAATGATAGACAAGGATATTTTAGAATGATTAGATGCTCCTCAATATTATATATTAATAAATTTTTATTGAATATTATTTGATTATGTTAACTAGATGGTTGGTGAGGGATTACAACATAGAAATAACATAAAGTTTATTTTTAATATATTTTAAAATAAGTTTTAGCTTCGTTTTTTATATTTTAAAATAAGCTACATATTATCTGCGTCCCACGACTGGGCACTGCCATCCTCTCATCTCTCAGAGGATTTTTATAGCAAAGTAGTATGTGCCGCCCTGCCCATTACGTGTGGTTGGACTTCACACGTCTTGGAAATATATTTTTCCTCAGACATGCTTTACTCAGAATTTTTCTCTACCATAGTAAATCAGCACTTAAATTATAATCGACAACTTCAATGGTGCTGAAGAGTAATGGATCTATGCTACCTCCGTAGGTACTGTGAAATTACGACGAACATTTAGCTTCTGAGCTTCGTCTTTGACACTCATCTGTGCTCATAGGTGAAGGAAAATATCATAAGGAAGCTTGCATGTCTGAGAAAAAAAAGAGAAATGTGAATCTGTCAACACGTTAAAGCCAAGCAAATGTTCTATAGATACTAATACATATTTAGAACGGTTGTTATCTAATATATATGAAAGTTAATTTTTGTTTGTTCGTATTTTATGCGCTGCCACACCGTTTATCAGATTGCGGTAAAGCTTTGTCAACATATTGCTTCCGCTTCCGCGAAGGTTATAGGCAGTAAGATATGACCTATCCATATATATATATATATATATATATATATATATATATATATATATATATATATATATATATGTATGTATATATATATATATATACATATATATATACAATATATAAATACATGCATATAGATGCAAATATACATAATTAAATACATAAATTAGTACATACAAATGACT